GTCATACAACTGTCCCTTTCGTTGCAGTAAAACAAACGGTTCGTCAAACTCTATGATCTCTCCCGCGTCTAACACCTAATCAAGTGTTTTAAAAATCATTTCAAAATTTATTGAAATAATTAAATAATTTATTGAAATAAAGATTAAAATACAAACCAAAACGCGATCGCAATCTATAATAGTGTTGAGTCTGTGAGCGATCGTAAGGACAGTACAGTGACTAAATTTTTGACGAATTGTGGTCTGAATTAAAGCATCGGTTCTGTGGTCAACATTAGCGGTCGCCTCGTCCAGCACTAGTACCCTATTGTGCCGGAGTATAGCCCGCGCCAGACATACCAACTGCCTCTGACCAACACTTAGATTAGCGCCCCCTTCGGCCAACTGGGCGTCCAACTGGCCCGGGAGGTCCGCCACCGCCCCCTTCAGCTGCACCTCTTCTAAGGCACTCCATATCCTTTGGTCGCTGTATTCGCCGAAAGGATCCAAATTTCTTCTGACGGTTCCCGTGAAGACCACCGGGTTTTGAGGTATGATTGACAGCACACGACGCAAGTCATGCAAACCTATTGAGCCCGTGTTTATGCCGTCCATAACTATCTCCCCCTTTGGCTCAACCATACGAAACAGCGCTGATATGATGGACGACTTGCCGGCGCCCGTCCGCCCACAGATCCCTATCTTCTCTCCACTTTTTATAACACAATTCAAGTTCTTGAGCACCGGTTTGTCTGATCCCTCGTAACACAAACTCATATCCTTGAGCTCTATCTCTCCCTTCTGTGGCCAATCGGGAGGGGGTTTATGGCTATCATGTGCTGTGAGGGCCGCCTCTTGTGGTAGTTTTGAGTACTCAATGATGCGCTCGACTGAAGTCATCTCATTTTCCATCTTTGCTGATTGCCTGACACCCCATTCAGTCAATCCGGTCAACATTTGAGCTAATTTACAAAATTTAAATTAAATTTATGTTAATTAACCTGCATTCAAAGTAGCATCAAGTTTTTTTAAACTATGATGTGACCAAACCTGACATTAAAGCGAGTCCCACCTCTCCCGCTCCCAATTGTTCGGGGAATATCATAAACACCGCAAATGTGATAACCGTATAGAGAAAACACAGTACGTCTATAATTAAGCCAAATGCATAGCCAGCAGTAGTAACGAGCATCCAGGTGGCCGAGTGATCATCTTGGTAGACATAAAATTGTTTCTCAAACATCTCCTGCGCCCCAAAGGCCCTAACACTGGCCAACCCATTGAATGTAGTGCTCACGTGTGAAAACACTGGACTCTGAGCTATATATAATTATATTATTGTAAAAATTATATAATCTTTTATTTGCTATATTAAAACTTACTTAACCCTTCGACCCGTTTAATGTCCCTAGCTGACTTAATGTAAATAGTCCGAACTGCTAAAAGTACTACAAATAAGAAAAACGCTGGTATAATTAAGTATGGGTTGACGATCACGATCATGATTATTCCACCGATATATTGGGTTATACTCTAAATAATGTTTACGATATACACAAGTAATTAATTCAGAGAAAGTTCAAACTCATTGGATATGTGAAATAACAATTTACTAAGTTGCACTCAAACGCTGTACTTGGCAGTTGCTCATCAATTGTTCCAAGATCTTTTGAAAAGCGATTTAATATTCGACCTATTGGTTATAATTAACATTATTTATAGGGTTATATAATAAGATTACTAACCAACTGAGTTATTGTCAAACACAGATATCGGGGCCCGTAATAGACGATAGAATATAGTGTTGTGGAGATTAACTGAAGCCCTCATAAACATCACAAACCATGTGATGGCTCTCAATAGGGATGCGATGAGGTAGAATATAGTGTTGTGGAGATTAACTGAAGCCCTCATAAACATCACAAACCATGTGATGGCTCTCAATAGGGATGCGATGAACAGCGCGGCCATCATTGAGGAGTAGATAATCACATCTCTGTTTTGCTCAGAAGTGTTAATATTAGCCGTGTTTTGATTTTTGTCAGTCCTTTTGTAATTAAACATATAAATATTTAAAAATAATAAACATGTTCAATGATTTCAATTTATTCACCATTGCGTAAGAAAATAGTCCGACCCATTATAAATAATTTGAGAGATAATTGTAAATAAAAGTGTGGTGGAAAATAGTAATGGCCCGGCGCCTGACTTAATAAATGTGCAATATACTTTTCCAGATATTGAACCCGTTTTTCGGCACTCGTCAGTAATATTAGGGTCATTATTCTTCTGTTCGTCCTTAATCAAATTAAGAATGGTCATCTTAAATACATTTGTACAGACTGTACAGTGTACACTCTGTTCTTTCAAACACAATGTAATGTATAATGTAAGAATCGCCAGGACTTTTATATTAATGAATTATAATACACTATAAAGATTACCATTTAACTAATCATTACCTGCCCTTGAAATATAAGTGAACGGGTTTAAAGCGTAAATCATTTGTGTTGAATATAAATATGAATCACAAATTTCATTAAACCCCAACTCATATTAGTGCACATTATATATGAGTAAAATATTAATTATAATCCTAGAAGTGATTCTAGGCTTTTGTTAGTATAATGTAATACAATTTACACAATTTATTACATGATACACAATCATTTGATGTAAAATCAACTAACTTTAACACAAATTAAAACTAAATAACTTGGAATAAAATCATAGTGTTTAAACTTATGCATATATCAGAAATAATGATTGCATTTATTACCGGTAAACTCTCGGTAATTGAAGTCATCCGGGATTTTGTTTTAATGTCAAAACTTGATTGTGAAAAAGTACGCTTCAGTTCCCTGTCCTCCGCCTCTGCCTTCTTGTCGGCCGCTTCCTTCTCCTGATCGCTGAGAATAGACATGAAGTCTAAGCCCCGGGACTGGAGCTCATCATAGGATCCCAATCCCAGACACTTTCCCTCGTCGTTCAAAACCAATATTTGTGTCGCTTTTCGTATGAATTGGATTTGATGTGTGACTNCAAAACCAATATTTGTGTCGCTTTTCGTATGAATTGGATTTGATGTGTGACTAGAATACGGATTTTGTCGCACAAGTAGTCGACTATACATCTGGTGTTCATTATATCGCGAATACATTATATGTTAGACTTATTTGTAATCATAATTATAACAATCATTGCATTACTTATCAAATATATGTTCGGCAACACTAGTGTCGACAGCACTCAACGGGTCGTCCATTAATACGATGTCTGAGTTTCTATACAGAACTCTGTATAAATAATTACAAATTATTTCATAGTAATATATTTACAAAAAATTATTATTGTTATATAAAACTGTAATATTATATTATTCTGATGACAAATAATGACCGTGAGTAATAGAATTATTTAGTGGTCACCAAACAAACGGTATTAATTATCACATTAACACAATATTTTTAACATTGCTGTAAATATGTATAAATGTTTGCACACAAACCTGGCTAACGTGATGCGAGCCTTCTGTCCCCCCGATAGCGATACCCCTCTCTCACCGACTAATGTCTTGTCTCCGAAAGGAAATATCTCAAAGTCTCGCTCCAAAGCGCACACCTCTACCACTCGTTTATATCGGGATTCGTTATATTCGGCTCCAAAAAGTATATTATTTTGAACACTAGTATTGAAATTCCAAGACTCCTGAGAGGCATAGCTTATCGATCCCACCGTTTTTATACTCCCCGACAGCACCGGTAGTTCATTCAAGACTGTCATCAATAATGAGCTCTAAATCAAATTAATTAATTAGTGTTTAAACTAATAGTTATAAATTACTCGTTTGCATACCTTTCCGGCGCCCACCGGTCCGATCACAGCCAATAAATCCCCGGCTCTTAAATGTGCTGAAATATTCTGAAGGGTTGGAAACGGACTTTCCTATTGATATGAATGGCATTTAATTAAACACAATTATTGTGAACAAAACGAAAGTATATATTTTTATACATCACTCCATTTGGCGGTTATGTTATTAATGGATACTTCGGGCGATTGTTTGCCATTTGTTTCGCATTTTGTTAAAACATTTGTATTTTGAATGACTTTCAATTGGATTTCGTCTAATTGTAGAAATTTCTGCAATAAATAAATAATTTAACATTTTCGTAATTTTGTTTATTACATAATATTTATTATTTTTTATTAATAATTTATTAATATTACCTGGATTCTATTACACGATACCAATAACTCGGCCCCCATCGCAATTGATTGCGGAAAATACCAGGTCATATTGACTCTCAAGTAATTAAACAACATCATTGATACAAATACAGCCTTAGCGGTGAGTACTTCCCCGGTGAGTACCAAGGTAATAAAGCTGGCAAACAGGATCAATTTATTAGCCATACTGAACAGTGACATATTGATCGCCTTTAGAAAGCATGATCGCTGTATACATGACACTTCTCGTCTAATTAATTGAACAATTAATTTTATGTTAATTAATTATTTAACTTATATAACTTCTATCATGGTCATTTACTTTCGTGCCTCAGCCACGAGGTCTGCGAAGGGCTGTTCCCAGGAATACATTTTGATGACTCGCATACCGGATATGATCTCAACCATATGCCGGAGCCGATTGTCTGTCAACTGAGCGGTCATTAATCTATATTATAAATTATTGTGTAATGTCTTATATTTGAATTATGCAGATATTATGCCTTAAGTATATTTCTTACCTAATTTTTGAAAATAATTTGCCCATGAACATTTGAAATACAATAAACACCAATATCAATAGCATGGACACAAAACAGGGCCAATTCATATATGTGTACATTATGTAAATTGTAATACCCGTCTGAATGGGCGCAATAAAAAAGTAGCTCACGAATAGTGAGAACTGTAATAAAAATATATTGCATTTATATTTATTGTGTTCATAAGGTGATTTATTAATTGGGTGTGAAAACTATCGTATATAATATTTTAGTGATAAATAAAGATAATAATAATAATTGATAAACAATATTTTAATAAAAAACACATATCACAACAATCAATGTAAATTTTCTCTTAATACAAAATAATATTTTATATATAAGGTCGTCCAAAAAGTATTGAGCACCGGAATTTTGCAAATACTCGGCAACCACTGAAGTGATAGTATTGTAATTTCATGCATATATAGATCCATGTCGGGGAATTTTTATGCTATAAAAATTTTGTCGTTCACGTGACTATTTTCTGAGAAAAAGGTACCATTCCGAAATCACTAGTATTGTGCCTACTGTGCTTATTATAGAAAGGGCTAAGGGAGATGGTTGTGTAGTGGAGATGTCATAGTGTTGTATAAACTTGAAAACATTATGATTGGATTGCAGGGTTTTATATAGTATGTGTACAAAGTTGACCAATTTTTGCATGTTAACCTATGGGAGAGTAAAATAAAATTGGATTGAAATATAATTAATCATATTTTCAGATACTATATTAAATGAAGCGATCGATAGGTTTTTTGCTCCCGACTCGACCACGTGATTACGGCAAATGGCGGCCATTTTAAAAATATTTTTTATTAAATGCCAAACATTTATTTTTAATTTGCAATTGATTTGATTAAAATATCTTTTGTAGTTTTTGAGTAATAATAAAATTAAAACACTCGTTAATGGTTGAACACACTGTAGTATGTGTGCAAAGTTGACCAATTTTTGCATGTTAACCTATGAGAGAGTAAAATAAAATTAGATTGAAATATTATTAATCATATTTTCAGATACTATATTAAATGCTGATAATGTTAGTAGAAAAAATTTTTGAAAAATTTAATTCCAAAGACAAAATATTTTAAATTAAAATATTGAGTTTTAGCCATAAAAATTCAAAAAAGCTTGATATTTTCAATATTTCAATTTAAGATATTTTGTCTTTGGAATTAAATTTTTCAAAAAATTTTTCTACTTCTACTTTAATGCTTTCAATTTATATAACACTATGACATCTCCACTACTCAACCACCTCCCCTACCCATTCCTATAATGAGCACAGTATTCACAATACTAGTGATTTGGGAATGGTACCATTTTCTCGGAAAATAGCCACGTGACCGACAAAATTTTTATAGCATAAGAATTTCCCGACATGGATCTATATATGCATGAAATTACAATACTATAACTTCAGCGGTTGCCGAGTATTTGCCAAATTCCGGTGCTCAATACTTTTTTGGACGGCCTTATATAATATGTATTATGTTATAATTAATACAAATAATAGAAATAGATTGAGTTGTTTTTTAATTTTACCATGTACTATATGCAGTAGTAGTTAATTTGTCTGAACATGACATGATAATCACTTTTGTAGTGATAACTTTATTTAATGCAACTGTATTTTCACTTTGCTTCGAACAAATCTATCAAATGATAGCCGTGTTTATAATTAATTTGTTTTTACAGAATATTGTTGAATACAGTAGACTCGCGATATAAGCAACTGTTTGGCGAGACATAAATTTAGGGCCAATAAATTGTGTCCCCTGTAGTACTCTTTGACTTCGTGTTTAGTAGTTATTTATTTTAGATAATTGTAACAATTGTTAAGTTATAACACTAATGAGAACACATTTAATGTCTTTAACATGTTAAATACTAGCAAATTGAGAATTGAATTTGTGGACATTTACGGCACAAATATAGCAACAAAAAAATGCATTGAATTCATTGTGAAAGTTGCCTAAAATACATACAATTAGATACAGTGGTCACGAATATCACATCAAGATTTATCCAAATACAGTCTACCCTCGCTTTTGACATTCGCGATTTTAACAGATTTCGGTTTTAACATATGTTTTCGTTAGCACGGGCGAGCCCTATGCATACTATAATGTTAACTTATTCGGTTGTAACAAATTATTTTAACAGATTTCGATTTTGACAGAGAATTTTTATATCTTTATAGCATAAACAATGCTTCAATTTTAACACATTGAATACTATAAAAACTCTTTTTTGAAATAATTGTTATTTTTATATTATTTTTACCAAATAATAGACTATAAAACTTAGAAAAGATCTTACTTTAGAAGTAATGTACAAAAACACTAAATTAAATAACTAAAATGTTATTTTAATGTCAATAAAGCTATTTTCGATTTTAACAGAATTCGATTTTGACACATATTTTTTACAGCACCGATGAAATGTCAAAACCGGGGGCAAACTGTATATTCAAATTATTTTAAACAAAATTATTATATGAGTTAACTTACGTAATATTAAACTAAAATCATATTTAATATTGATATAACATATTAAATTAAAATCATTTATTTCAATATTTAACTCAATAACTTTGAATACTGTATACTATATAGTATTTCAACAATAAGTTAATATAAAATGTATAATCTAAAAATAACATAGTTTTTTAATTTAATTATATTAATTATTTGATCGACATTTATTTCTAGTTCTAGAATAAAACAATTAATTACAAGTTGCTAAATTTCATGTAATTAAAACTACAAATATGCAATTAATTGAAACAAGGATTATATTTAATTGACATGTAATAAATGTGTTTTTTTAAAATTACTAATTAAAGTTATTAAAGCAGCATGCCACGCAAAAGCAATAGCACACCACCTATTATAGGCCCGATAACGGGTACAAAACTGATGACTGCAGTAAACAAGTAGATCCCGGCGCTTGTAATACCCCTCTTATCCCGGGTCTCGTCAGCGGCCAGACTGTGAAGTGTGTCCCGTAAGGCGCGGCTCATCTCATCACTCGACTCGACGGCGATGGCCCGCAACTGTCGGATCCATACATTCAACTTGTCTCCGGACACCTCCCGGAGCTGATCGCTCTGGTCGTCGGCCAAACCCACGCCCATAACAAATGTTGATCCCATAACAGCCGCCATTACGGTTACGACTATAACGGCACGAATGGTCCGATTCATTGTAGTTAATAGTGTGGGTCAAAAATCAACCAACTTATGCTTTTACAAAGGTTTATTATTATTACTTTATTTAATTACTGAATATAATATGTCATTAATTTTTACTTGCTTATAATTTACAATTGTTTGGTATTATAATGTTTTAGGTATTTATATAAACTTGATGTATTTTATTTATACAAAATTATGAAATGTGGCATGATTATAATTTTGTGGAATTGTAATTTGCAAATTACTAATAAAGTTTTAGTTTTGTCTTAATTAAACGGCTGGATTACACTGAATGAGAACTAAAACTAAAACTTCCATGGTAATTTGCAAATCATAATGTACCCTAGTGATTGACTAACATCTCGTAATTTTGTATAAATAAAATAATTTTGCATATTTGTAGCTTTACGTTTAATTTATATAATTAACTAGAACATTAAAGCATAATGATATTTTACATATAAGCCAGCTTTGTAACTATTATTTATTATTAACTATCATGAATTAAGTTTTAAGTAAATGTATTTATTGTTAATTATTTAATTAGAACGTTGATTTAATTGTTAGAAACATCGTCAGAAATTTAGAATAGCAGTTATCTTGAATAGTTTCCTGACAATTTAAAACTTTTAAATTTTTATAATAATTTGCAATTATTTTATATTATAAATTATAAGTAATTGTTTTATTTTTTAAATTTAATATACAGTAAGCTAGTTGTATTCATTTTGAAATGTCAATAATTAAATTCAATATTGCATATTATTTATTGCATTTAATTTAGTTAATAAAACATTATTTGTTTTAAAATTAGTAAAAGACTTTAATAATCGAGAGAGAGAGAGAGAGAGAGAGAGA